CCTTACCCTCGGTCATTCCCTGTCACAATCACCCTTGAAAGAAAGGCTATTTTCCAATTATTTTAATCAATTAATGAGTTCTAAGAAAAGAGATGCCATCTGCTTCAAAAATAAAGTTTCCATTCTGGTAAAAACCATTTCAAACTCTTCATGAAGCCATAGTCAACAGGGGAGGAAGGAAACCMCTTTTCAGCAAAACCTTGCCAAGCCATAGTATCTCTTCTAGGATGGGCTCAGTGTGGGGACCACTATCTGGCATCGCACTCAGAGTTTATCAGYGGGTGCAGGCGGCTCTGTTCATTGACCACAGGGCACTACCCTGTGAGTGCCCCAGAATAGCTKCAGCTACCTGAGAGCAGTCCAATCCTCAGGGACTCGTTATTGTCCCAGATAAACAGCGTTGCCKCGGCCAGCACGTAATGGCTGTATTTAACTGTGATAAGTGATGGGCAGCAGTGCCCAAGTGAGTGGCTGTCTGCTAGGGCCTGGGTAATCGGACAAAGGCAAGCGGGCTTGGCAGCAGGCATTTCTTACACATTGGTGAGCTGGTGCCACAGGGTTGAAGACTCCTGGGGATGAATATGGGAGAACTTGCCTTTTAACTGAGTTAGACAGGACAAATGTATGACAAAGATATTTAAGGAAGGAAATAAGAGTGAGAGCTTGAAAAATGAGTTAGATTAATAGAGGCAGGCTTCCGGGTTGTGGTGGAATCTCATGCCACTGAAAGGCTGGCTTGGAAATGTTGGGTTGTAGAATGAGACAGACATTTTTCTCTGGATACACATTTACTTTGGGGACTGGCTTCCTGGAAACTGTGAAACGCAACAACATAAGCCTCAAGTTATAAAGGTCAAAGGTGTACAGGGGAGAATGTCCATATTTTGACAGTATTAACATTGAAAAAAAAACCTATAGTTTTCAGACCCATTTTTTATCTTTATAGTTCTCTGGAAATTTCTGTGTGATAAAGGAGGATGAGTAACTAAATCACATTCTTAGCCATGCTTCCCTCATGAAATGGGAAATTGACTTTCCAGGTGGACAGAGAATTACTCAGCACTCTCATTGTGCGCTTATGATTCYGAGAGAGGATGTTTCATTCTTCTAGCCAAAGGCGACAGGCAGACCTGGCATTCTGAAGATAACTGGCCATCTGTAYCCAATCGAGACCATACATGGTGGTATCAGCCTTCATACGTGGTGCATACGTGGTGCTAGAGATGAGCCTGTTTGTATGTGGTTGTGTGTGGGGGGAATCCCTATATAACAGGGCCAAGTTATCCTGCCTTCAGACAAAACGCCTAATTCAGGGGGAAATCCAGATGTGAGGTAGAAGCATGGTCACATTCCCAGAACCCCTTGCATTCAAAGGCATTCCAAAAATCTCTACCAGAGATGTGTGTGTGTGTGTGTGTGTGTGTGTGTGGTGTATGTGTGTGTGTACATGTGTACCTGTGTGCCTGTGCACACACACAGGAATGTTCACACCTGTGACATTAGGACAAAGGAGACTAAAATTTTGGACTTAAAGGTCCACAAAATTAGTAGGCTTCCTTATATACTAGCAATAGGTTAATTTCTAGCTTCTCAAGTTTTAATACTATATATTTGATACCAGCTTTTGTTCAAAGATCCCACAATCACAGCATGAAAGAGATGGAAGATATAAAGTGCCACCCAGGCCCCAGTGTCACAGAGGAAGGAGTCAAGGCTTAGGGATAGGGAGAAGTGGGAAAGGAACAGGCCCAAGGCCACCCAGCTAATGAGGACAATGCTGGACTATCATTTGGGTCTCTGTCTCCCTTATTGTTGTAATTTCCCCTTTTGCACAGATGAAGAAACTTAGAGAGGACTGATTTTCCACTGGATCCCTCCGTGTGGCAAAGACTCCAGGCTCTGGCCACTTTTTAAAAATCTGAGCTTGCTCCCTCCCATCTCTGTTGGGATCCCTACCTTGCTGGCCAGTACCAATAAATAGAGGAGAGTGAAGCCCACACTTGGTTCTTAATTGAAGGTGATTCCAGAGCTCTATTTGCCCAATGAGGMGGGCAGAGCTGGAGCCAGACCCAGAGCCATGGAAATTGACTTCAGGACCACCCCCTCCTCAAATGTTACCAGCAGAAAGGGGCTTGTACTGCCACCAACTGGCCTCTGGGGGTGTCCCAGGCGTGCAAGAATGAGGTGAGAGGGAATGTAAGGCAGAAATGGTCCACTTTGCTCTCCTCTTCAAATCAGCTCGGTGYAGGGAGGTTTCAGAGCTGGGCTGCAAAAAATAGAGCGCAGTGCAGCTGCACCCTTTAGAACTTTGCGGGAAAACACATATTATTTACCAGACAATAATAGATACCAGAGAATAATARTGATTATTATAGTGTTTGGGATGGCAAACGCTGTAGTTAAGGTTCCAGAATGGCTCTCATTATAATCCCGTTTTCCCACTCTCTTATGAAAGCCTGAAAATTTTCTCCTAGTATGCTGGGCATGTTTGGTCTTTGTCCAAAGGTGATTTGAATACAAAGAAACTTAGTTGAGAGAGATTCCTTTTTTTTTTTTTTCTTTTGGGGTGATTACATTAAAGAAAAAGCTACATCATTGAAAAAGCAGTTGCACCATTCCTGAGTAAGAAATTAAAAATGGTGGTGTTTCCCAGTCACTGGAGGAAATATTGAACACTTCTTTTTCTCTTTTCCTTTTTAAGGAATTCAGAGGTTCCCTCAGATTCCAAGATTCAGTCACTTTTGGTCCCAGGCCCAGAGGTGGAGATCGTTTTCCTCCTTCCACAGCAACTTCCAGGCTGCTCAATAAATGCAAAAGAACTGTCCCCAGATGAAGTTATCCCTGTGTTTTTGGACCCACTTGTCTTTTCCACAGCTCTTTTCCAATATTTTGTGGCCTCCCCTTTAGTTCTTTTCTTTTTAGGTACTAGGGATCGAACAGAGGGGCACTTAACCACTGAGCCACACCCTCAGCCCTTTTTAGTATTTTACTTAGAGACAGTGTCTTGCTAAGTTGCTTAGGCCCTCGGTTTTGCTGAGGCTGGCTTTGATCTCTTGATCCTCCTGCCTCAGCCTCCTGAGTAGCTGGAATTACAGTCATGYGCTACCATGTCCAGCTTGATAGTGGTTCTTGATGGCTTATGTGGTGGGGGACACTAGGGATTGAAACTAGGAACATTCTGCCTATGAGCCATATGAACCACATCCCTAGCCCTTTTTTAGACTTTATTTTGAGACAGGTTCTCACTAAGTTGCTGAGGCTGACTTCGAACATGCGATCCTCCTGCCTCAGCCTCCTATAGCTGGAATTATAGACATGGGCTGCTCTGCTCTACAATCTTTTTTGCTTTTATATTCCTCCTCTCCATTGTATCTAATTCTCAAAAGAAAAAGAAAGCGGGTGTGTGTGTGGAGGGGGTAATGTGAGCTTTTTATTCAGAGATAAATATCCCCATTTCCAAATCTGACCATGCCAAATGAAAAGGTTTCCATGGCCTTGTAATTCCACCCCCATTGCATATTTGTGGTGTTTTGCATTTTCACTTTGGTTATTTAATATACATATTAAATGCTCACAGATCTGGTGATTTAATGTGATTTGGGGAACTCAGGCATTTCCTGTCGTGCACATTGAGTTTTTCAAACCTTGTTTTTGGCTGATGATTATTATCATTGCCATTAACACCAGGATTTGGATAGCAGGGTTCAAAGCACAAGCTTCTACTTAATTCTCCCAGTGGACATTTGACCTCCTCACTCTAGTGCTCAATTCATGTTGCAAGCACCCTGAGCAAGTTTCCAGGTTTCTCTGTGGCTGCCATAAAACGAGGAAATTCTTGTATGTTATGTCTGGGGTCCTTTCAAGTACTAAATTCAACACCTCTCTGAAATTATCTGTTCATTGTTCTGAGAATAATCTCAATAGTTGTAAAGATATTTACAAGTCCTCTGTCCCCACGGCACATTAACCAACTTTTGCCCTTTTATATTTCTGATGTCCCCATTTATTAAGAGGAAGAGAACTGCTTGACTCTCATTCATTTGGCACAAAGACTCTTGAACCTGGGCAGAGCGTACAGGCGTGCCTGAGACAGCCCCAGCCCTGGACCTCAGGGAYTTCATAGTTCCCTGGGCAGACATGGAAGTGGCTGCTTTCTGAAAGTGACTGAATGTCCTCAGTAGGCTGTCTTTTGGACCAAGGGACTGAAAGCAAATGAAATAAACCAGTGGAGATGAAGAGGCAGAGCCTCATGTCTGTGGTAAATGTGGGGATGGAACCTGGTGAAAAATCGCATTTAGAGTCCCTGCACTAGGATCCTAGGTCCCAAGGCCCCCGGTGGGTGGTTTATTGTCTTCCAGTCCTTTGTTCCTTTTAATTTTGGGTCTGAAGGAATGTGAACACCTCACCTTTACAGGCAATACCCTCAAAGAGAGAGGGGCAACCCTCTCTCCCATCTCAGTTGCCTCTGTAGGAAACTCCTGATGAGAAGTCCATGTGTTCATGGTAATGTCATTGGCTAAAGAGCGAATCTCTGGGCCTTCCTTCTGCAAACTCCAGAGCTGACCCATGGAGTACAAGGGAGAGGTCTGGAGCTCCAGGGTTCCCTAGTGACCTTGCCTCGATTTGGAATGACCTTGGATGACTCCAAAGACCTCCTGTGGGTTAAGCAGGCAGTCACGGGGAGGGTAAAAGTGGCTGGGTTGCAAAGGATGCTGCGGTCTTCGGGTGAGGGCGTGGTGCGCGGTGCTCATTATGGTCTTCCAAAAAGGGCTCGAGTTTCATTTCCTCACACAAAGCTGGCAGGGCTGACCCTGAGCAGACCATGAATGAGACTCATGCCGAAATCACGCTGTGCCTTCGTTTTGGGGGCTCATCCTAGGTCTGAACTGGCAGATCGTGCTGCTTCCTGACTCATGCCTGGGTTCTCCCCAGCTGGGCAGGGTGGGTCGGTGGGGATTTGGTCCAGTGCATTCTGATGGCCCCTTCTCCTCTTTTCCCAGGAATGATCACTCCCAGGGTACCTTGCATGGAGAGAGGGCGCGGAGCAAACCATGTCACGCCATCCAATGACACCAGCTGGTCAGCTCACCACCCCCTCTGGCTAAAACTCAAGCAAATAAAGCCGCTTCCTGTCATTAAGCATCTTGGAGGAAGCAGCCCTCCCTCGGTGGCCTCTAGCCCAGAGAAGCCAGCACGTCTTGGACCCACCAAGCGGGCCCAGCCTTCCTGCTGCCACCATCTCTGCTTTTCCCCAGAGGAACTTAGGGATTTCGCCCCCTGGTTTTAAAAAAACAAAACAAAACACCAACAAGCCACAAGGACCAATGTAGGTATTCTCCCCGCCCCATCTTCAAGGCTCAGCCTGCGGAGGCTGGAAGATGATACGGATTGGAAAACAAAAACAAAAACAAAAAAAAATCTTTTTTAAATCTTTTTAAAAACTGCTGTGGTTTTGCTGCTACACTAAGAATTGTGATTTGCATTGTATGGTTTTGGACCTATACTGTTCACGTTTTGATGGCGGAGAGGGATGGCCCTGGAGTCCCAAAGCTTCAGAGTCATCTCTGTCCGGCCCAGGATGCACTTTTAATGAAGAGTTAGAATATTTTATTGGCTAATATACTTTTCTTGTTATTTTTACAAAGGCCACCTTTATCCTTTTTGATGCCATATTTTCAGTGTTACACTTTTATGGCTTTTAATTTTCGATTTGACAGATGTAAGAAGCAGCATGGATAGTTTATACTGTGGTTTTTTCAGAGACTGAATGCCAAGAGAACTCGGTAAATGTTTATTCTTCTCAGCTTTCTCTTGAAATTCCCCTAAATAGCGCCCCATTTGGGAACAGAGCAAGAGTGTTGAACTGAAGACCAAAATGCCCTCAAGGTGTAAAATAATCCGAGGGGGGAATATTTGCTGGGCGTCACGAAAGACTCGGATGAAATTTCAACCCTGATGGTTTTTGGTGATCCAGGAAGTCAGTGAGACAATCTCCCTATACGCAGAGCCCTTTCATGATAATTAGAATGGCATGGATGAACCAATGAAAACAAGAGGGAAAGTGAGAAAGATCGCCCATGATTCTGTTTCACTGTTTGCTTTCTCCTGTCACGGTTAAGAGAAACGTGCAATGGGATCCTCAGTCCGTGGGTGGAGGATAACAGGGTAGATTTACTTGTGTGCACTTGTACAGTTGTAGCTGCGAGTCCAGAAGTCCTCTAGAGCATGTGTACTGGCACTGAGTCGGTGAGACAGTCGTGGAGTACCCCATTCTGATGAGTACAGAAAAAAAAAAAAAAAGAAAAAATTAAGGAAAAAAATCAAAAAAAGAAGAAAACTAAAAAAAAAAAAAAAATCAAATCACCTTGTGATTCAGTGTATCTGTTTACTAACTCCAATAAAAGCAATTGTTCCCTCTGCAGGGGTCTGGGTGCCCCACCCCACCAGGCTGCTGAGCCGCAGTAGGGGGGTGGTGGGTTACCGGTAGACAAGGCCGGGCTGGCTCACCTGGCCGTGCGGCACCCCGGGCCACGGATGCGGTGTACATACTGTATTTCTATATTCTCCTTTGTACAGTCACTTAACAAGTCAAGCTACTGTTTTACAGGTGCTCCTTATTTATTAGAGCCGTGAGAGCTTGGGGGACACACCTGGCGAGCGAGCTCRCTTTTTAAAAATGAAATTTGGGGGGCAGGGGAAGGGAGGCGGGAGGGAGGGAAAGCTCGCAAGCCCGGGGAGAGATTTATAAAAGTGAACAAAAGAAAAACTTCCAGCAACAAATTAAACCAACCAACCCCAACACCAAACCCACCCATGCAGRAAGCAGCAGCCCTCGTTCTGGGTGCTCATTTTCCTGCTGGGCCTACAACATTCTCCTCTCTCCCTGATGGGTGTCAGATTCATCAAACAAAAATAAATCTCTAAGAAAAAAAAAATGCACTTACATGTGCTTATTTGGTTTTTCTCATTATTATGACTATTGTTGTTATTTTCCTTGTTACAGAAAGTGATTATTTTTCTCCCGCTGGGAGACATTTTTTTCAATTAAACCTAGTAAGTTTAAAAGATGGTGAGATACAGGGAGGCACTGGTCCTCCCTAAGCTGCTGCTATTATGCAGACCGAGGCCTCTAATGGATGTAAATCTTGTCTAATCCTTTGGTTCTACAGGTGAAGAAAATTGAAGKTTAGAAAAGCAAATAAACTTGTCCAGAGCCCCGCACTTGATTAATGTGATTTTCAAAACCCAAATTAAAATGATTAGAATTTTAAAATCATTAAAATCTTAGACACCATCATGGGRTTCCTCTGAGTGACCATCTTGTGGATTTGGGAGTCCTGAGAGAATCTTGCAGGTTTCCTGGTATGTTACAAGGGTGATTCCATCCAAGCTGAGCCCCACAGAGGCAGGCCCAGCCAGGATGTGGSAGGGGCCGAAACCCCGCTGTAGCTGTCTGGTGCAAAGTCCCTGACAGCATTGTTCATCAGGACTTGGCCACTGAGACGGCCATCCAGGATATTGATTTTGCTTTTGTCTCTAGTCCAAGATTGTCGAGCAAACATTTTGACCCTTCCGAAAACAAAAGGTACCTTTGTTCCAACAAGAAAAGACTCTGTGGCATCTCATGAGCCATCAGAACTCTTTTCCTCCTCCCCTTCCTTGTCCTAATCCTGGTGCTCTCTCTTGAGCTATCAAAACCAAGAGAAATGGGACAATTATGGGGACAATAACTAGTATGTGTTGAGCACAGAAGTGTGGCCTCATTATTCCTCATAGTAACCCTGGAAAGAAGGGCCTCTTGTTTTCTCTTTATTATATGTTAAAAAACAAAACAAACAAACAAAAAACCTCAGAGTTTAGTGGGTTTAGTAATCACCCAAGGTCACACAGCTGGTGAGTTGCAAACCCAGGAGGTTCAGGATCTGAACCCAGGTCCTCCCTCTGATCTGAAGCAAGCGTTGACATCCTCAYGAACACTTTGCCTTCCTGTAAACTTGTGGCCGTGATTCAACCTTCTCTAAAGTGGCCTTCGTTTTAGTCTAAGCCAGAGGGGTGTGCGGTGATGGATATTGTGCTTTGGACCTACTGTGTGTGTGTGGCAGCACTGAGGGCACTGTTTTCTGAGGAATGAATCAGGCCATGTTTTCCACAGCAGTGGTCAGACCCCCACAGATCACAAGGCCCATGCCTACTGCTGAGGGGAGACCAGAGAAGAGTAAAGCCATGGTCCCTGCCCCACTGACACATGCTAAATGGGAAGATGGGTGGTGGACAAGGTCTGGGTATGTTCCAGGGTTTATATCATCACACATCTGGAGCCTGGTTTTAGTTTTGCAAAGCCACCCTCCCTTGCAGGTGACTTGCACACACTGGGCCTTTGGCCAGCTACCTCTCTACCCCCAACTGCTCCCACCCCAGCCTCTTCTATATGCCACCTGACTGAATTAGGAACTGATTCCCAAAGGCCCTGCTCTCTCCCTGTCCTGGGTCCTTGCCCAATGAGCTGCCTCTGCCTCAGATGTCTTTTCTTTGTCCCCTGGACAATTCCCACAGCCAGACCCCTGAGGAGAGGCCTTCCTGCCTCCCTCCAAGCCACCCTTCCTCAGATCCTGTGGATCCCGCTGCTTATTCAGTCCCTGCCCTTTACTGGTCTGCAGAGTCCTTAGGGAGGAGGATCGGTGCCTTTTTTACCTCCTATCTGCTAGGTACAGCATATGGGAAGTCCTCATTATTATTATTTTAAAAATTAATAAGCCTCCCCCTTCAAGGCTCAGTTCACACACCAACTCTCCATGGAACCAAGCCTRATTCCCTGGAGTGCAATTAGTGGCTTCTCCCTTGGGCTCTGTACCTCCAGTTTAAATTGGCTGAGGCCACTTTTGGCCCTGTACTGAATCTTCGTATGTCATCAGGCTCCTCAGAGATAGGCACTGTGGCCCTCCTAACTGTACATCCTCGAAGAGCTGTTCAGCCCCCTTAGAACTGAAAATGCCGGTGGCCTGCAGCACTATGATCCTCTGGCCTCCCACTAGAAAAGGCCAGTAAACCCCTGAAAACCATCATCCCGTGCAGTCAAGACACACTAGAGCTTCATTTTGTGTTTTTGTGTTTCTGGTGGTCAAAGGAGGGAGGTGCCTTTGCAAAGGGGCCCCAGACTCAGTCAGTGCCCTTGTGTTTCTGTGCTCAACACTGAATCCAGGTCACAGAAGTATTACATGTTTTACCCAGAAGAGTCTTGGAGATGAGATCATTCCTTGACCCTTGGACACATTTCTAGAAGGCAAGTTAGCCTACAATAACCAAATGTGCCTCTTACTCTGACTTCTTGACTTAGATGGATGAAATGTTGCTACCATGTGTGGGGGAGCGGAGATTCTTCCAGTGAAGAAGGGACTTCACAGAGGAAATTGCTCATCTGTGAGGGGATGACTTTGTGTAGGGCCCCATGCTAAGGGCTTTACTCACATCCACTTATTTAACTCCCACCACACCCTGTGTGGGAAACACTAGTATCACCATCATCAACATCACCACCACCACCACCACTACCACCACCAAGCATAACCATCATCATCATCCCCATTTGATTGCCAAATACACAGTCAAGAAGATGGAGGGGTTTTCTGTCCAAGGCACAAATAATAAGAGGCAGAACCCAGCAGTGGGCTTCAGGGCTGAGCTGTCCCATCAGGGCCTGAGACACTTGGAAGTCGTGACTGAAAGGTAGAGTTCTGATCACTTACATGGTGCCTAACTACGACGTTGAGATATATTATACCTTATATTGTATTTGGAGAGAAAAGAAAACATGACCTCTACTCTCATCACACCTGGTTTTGGCAAGACCAAAAATATGCTTGTTTCCATATCTACAGGTAATATCTGAAGGATGTGGGCAGCTCTGCCAGCAGCTCAGAGAAAGGAAGAGTGCTGGCACTTTGGCACCCATGTCCCATTTCTTGAAGCAGAAAGAGTGGGGCAGGCACATGGGGCAGGGACTTTTTTCCATTTTCTATTGTCCGGACTATTTGAACTTCAAACTGGGCTTTCTCCCGTGGCACTCATCTAGTGGGCAAAGGGAYGTGAACAAGAACAGCATGGAGTTACTGGGGCCACACAGGCTGTGCCACTTTGCCCAGGGTATAGGGGGCTGAATCCAAGCCCTACTGTTAATTTTTGGATGTGTCCGGGACTCCTGACTGGATGGAAGTGTTGTCTATTCTGACACATCCATGTGCCAGACCCTACCACATTCACCCAGATTCACTCTCAAGCAGTTCTCCAACCCACGTGCTACAGGCARTGTGGTCTTCATTTCTGGATAAGGAAAACAGAGTCCAGGGAGGTGAAGTGATGTGTTTAAGCCTTTCAACTAGGAAAGTAGAGCCAAGATCTGAACCCTCTCACCCCAAGCATGGTGCCCTTCTGATGGCTGSAGAACCACCTGCTCATAACTCTGCTCAGAACTCAGTTTGAATCTGAATCAGTTGATGGGACACATGTCTGATACCATCACTCCAGCCTGATTCTAGAACTCTGGCAATTGGCGAGGCTGTCCTTCCTCATGTTTTCCTCACATGCATGTTTGGGCCCAACCATCGGACAATGAACCCCTACAAGAAGGAGTAGACATCACTGTTGATTTTAAGGAAAATTTATCCAAAACTTACCAAATGCCACTTAGTTGCATTTTTTACATCTATGCATTCCAATAACCCTGTAGGTCAGTACTATCATCCCCATTTCACAGAGAAAGAAACTGAGCTCATAGAGGCTAACTGCTAGAGCCCTGAACTGCATTCAGGGAGATGGATAAGAGCCCACCGGTCGCCAGCATGTTTGCAGTAGAGACTTCCTCCTGTGGAGATGGATGCCTACATATATAAATTTTAAAAAAACAATTCTATGTGTGGCTAAATCTTTCACCAGTCACTTTCACATATGTCATCTCAATCTTTGAGAGTGACCGGAACATCAGCCCTAGTAGTGACATGGGGGAGCACAAAAGTGATTTCTATCCTCTGAATCACAGCCAAAGTCATTTACTAGTATCTTCTTTACTTAACCAGTCTCCAACAAATTCCTGTCCTGAGGAAGCACTTTTCTTTGTAAATGTCAACAGCTTCATAATCTAGAGCTTTGCTGTACTTGTTTCCACTCCTCTGATTTCCTGTGCTCAGCCTGGGAGTTGCTAAGGTAGGGCCAAGGCTAATTCATCTCTGCGTTCCCAGGACCTGTGAGTAGCATGCATCAATGTAGGTAGCCAAGTAGTTCTGTGTGCAGGCCTCTGGCCACTCTGCGTATCATCCACAGTTGGAACAGTATCTAGTTGGTTCCTGAATCTCCCCTATGTCCCCTGTCCTTCAAAATCCCCGTTCCAATTTCCCGCCCTTGATTTCCCTCCAGACCTTGTAGAATTGGGACTCTGGGACTCTGAGGAAGTCCCAGTGTCTTGAGCAGCAGGTGAGACACCCCTACCTTCYCAGCCATGTGGGCAGGACCAGCTCAAAGAGGGCAGCTGAAGAGCCACAGGTGTGTCTCTGTCTCTGGAAGTTGCAGGATCTAGATAAGAATTATTTCCTCTCGAATTATTTCCCCTCTCATACAAACATATCATATTCCACTTAAATGTTTCATGAAAAAGAAGTTCCTCACCTCTGGTGTTAGAAATACTTGGGAAAAAGTATTTTTTAGGAAAGGCTAAGATGTGAGTGAGTGATCACTGAGAGATGTGCCCTTTGACCTTGGTGAAGAAAGAGAAAATGGATGCTGAGCATCTAGCCAAAACCTTTAGATTACGTGGTGTTTTTCTTCCTTCTTTCTAGGTTTATTTCAACAAAAGAGAAGGATTACTACAGAACAAAAACAATGAAAACAATTACAGGTAGAAAAAAAAAGAAGAGATTTATAAAATAGCAGTACCCTACTGAAAGCCCTTTTAACGTCCCACTCCCCAGCTCCCCTGGGCCCCCACCTGGCTCCAAGACCTCCCTCTCCTGTCTTCACCACGTGGCTCACAGTGTCTCCTACACTTTCAGTAGCTGGGTTAGGGCTCAGGACCCAAGGCCACGAATGTAATAAAACACTTTCATACTTATTGATCCTTTAAAAAAAAGAGTTT